TATCTGGCTTTGCTAACAGAGTAATGCTGGCCTTAGAAGTGTTCTCTCACATTTTTTGGAAGACTTTGAGAAGGATTGGTATTAATTCCTCTTTAAATGTTTGGTAGAATTCACCAGTGAAGCTATATAGTCCAGAGTTTTCTTCGCTGGGAGGTTTTTGATTACTGATTCAATCTCTTGATATAGGTCTGTTCAGATTTTCTATTTCTTCTTGAGTCAGTTTTGGTAATTCATGCATTTGTCCATTTCATCTAGGTTATCTAACTTGTTGGTGTACAAATATTCATTGTATTCTCCTATAATCATTTTTATTTCCATAAGGTCACTAGTAATGTGCCCAATTTCACATCTGATTTTAGTAATTTATGTCTTCTTTCTTTTTTCTTAGTCATTCTAGCTGAAGGTTTGTCAATTTTGTTGATTTTTTCAAAAAGCCAATTTTTGTTGATTTTGTTTTCTCTACTTCATTAACTGTCTATTGTTTTTCTATTCTTCATATCATTTATCTCTAATCTTTATTATTTCCTTCCTTATTCTAGCTTTTGGTTTTGTTTGTTCTTCTTTTTCTAGTTCCTTAAGGTCTAAAGTTAGGTTGTTGCTTTGAGATCTTTCTTTCTAAAAGTAGGCCATTGAAGCTATAAATTTCTCTATCAGCCCTTCTTTTGCTATAAAATTCCTTAAGTTTTGGTATGTTGTACTTTCATTTTCATTCATCTCGAAGTATTTTCTAATTTCCCTTGTGATGTCTTATTTGACCCATCAGTCATTTAAGAGTACACTGTTTAATTTCCATATATTTGTGAATTTTCCAGTTTTCTTTCTGTTACTGATTACCAGTTTCATTCCGTCATGGTTGGAGAAGAAACTTTGTATGATTTCAATCTTTTAAAATTTTTTTGAGGGGCCGGCCCCATGGCTTGGCGGTTAAGTGCACGTGCTCCGCTACTGGCGGCCCGGGTTCGGATCCCAGACATGCACCGACGCACCGCTTGTCTGGCCATGCTGAGGTGGCGTCCCACATACAGCAACTAGAAGGATGTGCAACTATGACATACAACTATCTACTGGGGCTTTGGGGAGAAAACGGGAGAAAAAAAAGGAGGAGGATTGGCAAAAGATGTTAGCTCAGGGCCGGTCTTCCTCAGCAAAAAGAGGAGGATTGACATGGATGTTAGCTCAGGGCTGATCTTCCTCATAAAAAAAAGAAAAATTTTGAGATTTGTTTTGTGATCTAACATACAGTCTATCCTATAGAATATACCATGTACAGTTGAAAAAAATCTATATTCTGTTTTTGGGTGGAGTATTATACATGTCTGTTAGATCTAGTTGGTTTGCAGTGTTGTACAGTCTTCTATTTTCTTTCTTTCCTTTTTTTTTTTGGTGAGGAAGATTGGTCCTGAGCTAACATCTGTGCCAATCTTCCCTAATTTGTATATGGGATGCCACCACAGCATGGCTTGATGAGTGGTGCGTAGGTCCATGCCTGGGATCCGAACCTGCGAACCCCAGGCCACCGAAGTGGAGTGCGTGAACTTAACCACCACGCCACCAGGCCAGCCCCCAGTCTTCTATTTTCTTATTGATCTTCATCCATTTTTGGAGGGATGATCTTCTATCCATTATTTAAAGTTAAGCATTCACAGCTAACATCATACAAAAATGGTGAAAAGCTTAAAGCTTTTCCTCTAAGATCAAAAACAAGACAAGAATGCCCACTCTTGCCACTTTTATTCAACGTAGTATTGGAACTTCTAAGCAGAACAATTAGGCAAGAAAAAGAAATAAAAGACATTCAAATTGGAAAGGAAAAAGTAAAACTATCTCTATTTACAGATAACATGATATTACATATAGAAAACCCTAAAGACTCTACCAAAATGACTATTAGAACTAATCAACAAATTCAGTAAAGTTGCAGGATACAAAATCAATACACAAAAATCAGCTGCATTTCTATACACTAACAATGAACTATCAGAAAAAGAAATTAAGAAAACAATCCCGTTTATAATTGCATCAAAAAGAATAAAATATCTAGGAATAAATTTAACCAAGGAGGTGAAAGATCTATACACTGAAAACTATAAGACATTGATGAAAGAAATTGAAGGAAACACAAGTAAATGGAAAGATATTCTGTGCTCACAGATGAGAAGAAATAATATTGTTAAAATTTCCATACTACCCAAAGCAATCCACAGATTCAACACAATCTCTATCAAAATTCCAACGGCATTTTTCACAGAAAAAGAACAATCCTAAAATTTGTACGGAACCACAAAAGATCCTGAATAGCCAAAGCAATCCTGAGAAAGAAGAAAAAACACATTTATTTACCCAATAGCCAACAAAAATAAAGATCCTTTGCATGCAAAAGTATAAATACTGTAAGAAGGAGGAGGAAGAGGAGAAAGGGTAGGGGGAGAAAAGAAGAAACTAATCTAAGAAATTAATGTAGTACAGAAAGAGAGTGTTTCATTAAACACAGTATGAAGATGGTTAAGATTAAGATTTGAAGGCAGGAACAAGATGTTAGGCCTCAGAGCTAGGGATCAGCACTTTTGAGTCATCCATCTGTTTTATAAAAATGACTCCTTGATTAAACTGCCTGACTCCCTAGCTTTTTACTCTAGATACACAGGGCAAAATTTACTGTTTGGCAAATATGTATATTTCATATGTATTTATATATTTGATATATATATAAAATGTCATTATAATTACAGTATTGAAATGGTTGAATAATTCCACACATAAATGGATTAGATTAGGGAAGAAATATTCTTTATAGAAGATTCTGTAATCAGTTGGGAAAAGAGACAATAGAAAAATTGAGAGGGTATCAATTAATTTTGTCATTTAGCCAGGCTGCATTTTAATGAAATATACTATCTAAACAAGCATAAATAAGATTATCCATTTCTTTGGGGAAATTATCATCACACACATTCAGGTAGAAGGTAGAAAAGCAACTAGACAATATTCTAATTTATAAGGCTGGTCTTCTGTTTTGGAAAACTATGTGCAGCTTAATGTTTATAGTTGACATACTGCTTTGACATTCTTAAATGAAATAAAATTCAGTATAATACTCCTAATTCACTTCATTTGGTTCCACCAATAGCATTATTATTAACTAGAAATAATGGTATTAAAGATAAAGGTATAATTTCTGTCTTCTAAGGACTTACTTTCCAGAGCTTCCTTTTAAAATGTCCTGTATCAGACGATTTGTACATTAACAGCCAAATCCTATAAGCCTTGTCATGAGTAAGGAAGATAAACTTCCTATGCTTTTATCTATTTATTATATAAGGAAACATTATCTGCCCCAAAGTCCACTAGACAACAGGAGTTTTCCATTCAAAACTATGCGTTTTCCATATGATTCTCTGCTAGCAACTAACAGCTGCCCATCAAGAGGAGCCATTATATTGAGAAGCCTTACTGATATAGTGAAAATAACAAACATGGAATGCAAAATCGGACAGACAAACCTAAGTTTAACTACTGGCTCTGCCATTTACTAGTTATGTGACCTTAACAAAGCGATTTAACATCTGATCAATTTCTTTATCTGAAAAACTGGGGGGAGTGTTATACTCAAGTCACAGGATTGCTGTGAGAATTACATGTAAAAATGCCTAGCTCTCAAAATGCTAAAAAGAAAAAACAATAACAACTAGGATGAGATTGCAAGGCACAGCCTCTTCTAGATGCTTCTTTTTCTCCTTCTCTATGAGTAAATATTGTCCAAGTCTTTCCTGTATTATGAAATGAATTATGTAACACAGATAAAATTTCTCCAATTTTAGTTTGTGGACCTCAAGGTTCTAACCAAGGCTGATCTTCTCAAACCTATTAATTTATTAAATTTCAGCTATGTCCTTAGTACTCTTCTTATATTCTGAAAACACTGTAAAATTCTCTAAAATTCCCATAAAATCTCAGATCCTGGCAGATAGCAATGAGAAGATTTTATCAACCCCTGGCCTTAGGAGTCTCTTGAGGTTTGATTTCTTGAACTATAAGACGTCTGAAAGCTGCTAAAGATAAAAAGAGACTACAGGGGAAAGTAAAACAAACCTCAGATAGCAAAATCTCCCTTTCTCCTGATCTGATCCCCTGGTTCCACTTTCTTTCAGTCCTGGGTTAAGGACTTGAAAGCAAGCAATCCCATTACAAATTGAAGCAACATAATATATACCTCAAAAGTTCTTTCTTTTAGGCGTTGGTATATCCAGTGGGGAGTAAATTTATTTTCTAAATAAGTAATGATAGAAGATTGGTGTTAGACATGTAACTCCAATCTCAACAGAAACTATCTTTGTCTACACATTTAACAGCAATTGAAAAGTAGAAGTTAGTACTACTCTATTAGAACACTTGCAAGGGAGTTAAATTCTATCGCTCTAAAATGAAAAGTGACAAATTTGTTTTCCCTAGATACCTCTCTATGAAAATCAATTCCTTGACTGGCAATTTATACAGAAAATTTTTTGGTTAAAAGGGCACTGAGAGGGAGTGTAACTTTGGACAAGTCATTTAAGCTCTCAGACCAAGTGCTCTCCTCTATACCCTTGCCATTCAAAGTGCAGTCCACAAAGCAGCAGGATTGGCATCACTTGGGAGCTTGTTAGAAATGCAAATATCAAGCCTACTATACCCCTGTATAGAACACTCCTATACCCGAGAACTACTGACTCAGAATCTGCATTGTAACAAGATCACATATGATTCACATATACATATAAAGGTTTGAGAAGCACAGCTCTATACAATAAGGGGGTTTGACTAAACGATCTTAAGGTCCTTTACAACTGATTTTTCTCATGAAAATCAGATCTGACAACATCGGAGCCCGTATTCTCATGTGGCAACAGTCGACTGGAGCTGGAGCAGCTGCCCCTTTAGATGTAAAAAAGAGATGGCTTCAGAGGTAAAAATTCATTAGCTGTATGTATTTTTAGGTGAAAGGAAAAAAATTGTTCATTTACCTTGATGGAAAGTAGTGAGGTCCAGGTAGAAAGTAAGGGTGATGAAAAGAGAATCGCGGTGGTGTCCCAAACAACGTGGCTGGATGGCCAAGGGGAGGGGGCTGGTAGACATGTGAGTGTGGAATAGGAGGAGCCTGGGGGATTGGAGCACTTCTGGGACAAGTGGAAACGCTGGGATACTCCTTGGGAGGCTGGATGGTCGAGGCTGCAAATCTGGCATGGGCAGTACTTGTAGTAGTTGGAATCCTGCTGGTGCTTTCGAGAGAGACAGGAGTGGGTCTCTTCACAGAAATGCCCCCCGAATGCAGCCGATGAGTGTCCGTTTGGGAGGGTCCAGCAAAGTGCTGGGGTGGGAGTGTTGGACAGAGGGGCAGACTTGGAGCCTGGACAGCCACCTGGGCAGGACTGGAGACGCTGGGCTGGAAAAGAGTGATGGGGTTTGGGCGCTGGACTGCAGGGGTGGGCAGCTGGATGGCAGGTGGGGCTTCACCTTTAGAAATAAAAATAGCATAGGTCAGGCATTAATTGAGTCACTCCATGTTTCTTTTTCAGTATAATTTAATAAACAGTACAACCAGAAGCTTTCACTAACCACTTCACCTAATAGCATTACCACGTCAAACCACTCTATTTCCTTTATAGCATTTTGAACAAACTGAAGTCATCTTGTTTACCTATTTTACATTTTTGCCTCTCTTTCCCACCTAGACTCTAAGTGCCATGACAGGAGAGACCTTTTCTCTTTTATTCACAGCTGTATCCCCAGGGCTCAAAATTCTGCCTGGCACAGAATAGGCCCTCAACAAATATTTTTTTGATTAATAAATAAATGAATAAAATTATTGAGTGATTGAGTGAAAGATGAATACACACAAATGCTGGTATGTATATATAAATGTTTCTAAAAGAAATAATATGAAACTACCGACTGGTTACTTTTAAGGAACAGTCATCTGGGAGAGGGGACAGGGCAGTAGGGCAGTAAGAAAAGCTAGACTTTCATTTTACACCTATCAGTACTGTCTGAATTTTCTTTTCTCTAAATATATTAATTTTATTTTAAATATTAATAGAGGTTTCAGCTTAGTGGTGTGGGTCATTTTTTTAATTTTGTATACTTCTATTTTTTTGTGTGTGTGTGTGAGAGGAAGATCAGCCCTGAGCTAACATCCGTGCTAATCCTCCTCTTTTTGCTGAGGAAGACCGGCTCTGAGCTAACATCTATTGCCAATACGCCTCCTTTGTTTTCCCCCAAAGCCCCGGTAGATAGTTGTATATCATAGCTGCACATCCTTCTAGTTGCTGTATGTGGGACGCGGCCTCAGCGTGGCCGGAGAAGCGGTGCATCGATGCGCGTCGGGGATCCAAACCCGGGCCGCCAGTAGCGGAGCGCGCGCACTTAACCGCTAAGCCACGGGGCCAGCCCTATACTTCTCTATATTAAACTAAATTATGAATGACATTTGACTTTTTTAACTGAAAAAACTAAAGAAACAATCATTAAAATTATTTCACTTTATTGTATTCAATGTGAATACAGAAGGAAATTCTCAGTGACAATAGGACTTTCCACAAGTCAACAATTTGTGACAGATATGAAAGGAATATTATTGCAGCAGGCATGACAGATACAGCAGAATTTTTAAAGGTAGATGAAATAATCATGTATTTGATCTTTCTGTTCCTGAAGAATAGAGGACTGCTGATTGAGTTGCTGAGTTATCCAAATGACACAGCCTAAATTTAACTAAACTCTTCCAAAGAAATACGGAGAGAAGCTGGAGCAATAGACTCATGGTCTAGTTTATTCCAATGCAGTTAGATCTCTGTTAATATAGAAGATATAGTCCAAGAACAGACTTTACGGTTAGAAATGTCTCTGTCAGAGGCTGAAAGGAATGTGGATCTTCTCTCAGCCTTGTCCAGGAAAGACCCTCCCCTCCTTCCTTCTCTCCAGATAAGGCCAATATACCCCCTCTCAAATCTGGAGGTAAGGAATTAAGGGATATATCCATCTGTTTTGAGATGGCCTCTGACCCAGTGAAGTGGAGGCAGCACAGGAGCTGAGTGTAAACGAAGCTGTCCTGGTTCTCTGTTGGTGGGGTTACACGGACTAGCCCTCCCATCTGTGAGGCACAGGCCTCAGTCAGGCCCTTCTTGATTACTCAAGCACAAAGTAATTTCCCTCCTCTATGTTTCCTCAGAACCTGTAAATCTATCACTTACTACGAAATAGTGTCAATATTGTTATTTGCACATCTGCAACCTCTACCACAATCACGAAACTGGGCACTTGAGAGCAGAACAGTTTTATTCATGTTTGCATCCCCAATATCTGACACAAAATCTGGTTCATAATACTTAAGAAAGCCATGACTAGAAGAAAGAAAAAACTAACTAACAAATAAGCCTATAGCTGACAGCACTTCTACCACTGATCTGGTATAAGGAGAACCTTCTCCTCTAAACAACTATGAAGCCAGGCTGACTTGTAAAATCTCTCAAAGTTTTATTAATTGAATAGTCACTGCAATCAAGACATCAGCTCCTAAAATCTACCTGTGATGCAGATTTCTTTTCCCTACATCCAGTACAAGAAGCTCTTAGTCTTCAGCAAAGAAGTATGGTCATTCTGGACAAAGGAAACATAAATTACAGGAGCTATGGAGTCCATCGATATTATTTCAGTTACTGAAGAAGGAGCAGACATCTTTTAGCTGATACCAAATATTCTTTTCTACCAAAGATATTTCCATAAAAGAAGGGGTACCAGTGAGGCATGGGTTCATAATCATGCACTCATTTAATTCAACAAACATTCACTAAGCAGCTGACATGTGTCAGGCACTATTTTGGTCTGAGGTAAAAAATTAAATCACAGAGTTATATGCAAGTATAACAAAGATGTCCTCAATGTCAAAATTCAGGTTGCTAAGCAGGAGGTTAAAGTCTGCAACATCCAGTCATCTCAGATAAACTGTCAGTGAATAGAAAAGACTTGTGGAAAGGGCAGAGCTCTAATGCATCAAGCTGTAGGTAAGGTATGGAAAAGACTAGCCACTCACTTCTTTTCTCTTCTTCTAGCACACAGATAGATTACATTTCCCAGCCTCCCTTGCACTTAGGAGTGGCCATGTGGCCAAGGCTACCCAACGGAATGTAAGTAGAAATGATGTGTACCACTTCTGAGACTGGCCCATAAAAAACCCTCGTGCGTGATCCTCCATGTTCTTTCCCCTTCTGCAGGTTCATGCACACTAGTACAGTGGCCTTGGATGCCACATATTAAAGAGGGCAGAGCCACAGGATAGAAGAAGCCTATGTCCATGAATCACCCCTTGGAAGAGAGCCCTCTACCAACAAGAAATACCTATTTTGGACTTTGAGTAAAAAATAAACCATAATTCTGTTTAAACCATTATGTTTAAGTGCTTGTTAAAGCAGCTAGCATTATCTAATCATTACACGAGGTAAAGAGCAGAATTTTAGATCTATGTTATAGCATGACAATGACAAAAGAAAAAATAAAACGTTATTAATAGTTTTCAACAATTCTTGCAAATCTCCCACCACCCACCCCCAAAGAGGAAGAATCCACTGCCTGTGCTGAATGGATGAAGGGTGCAACAGGCTTTTGTTGCATGACTGGGATGAACAGTGAAGGAGTGGCGAATGGCAGAAACTGAGGACAGACCAAATTTCTCTACAACAAAAAGCTGTATGGAGGTAGTGAGAAGGAGAGGAGGACCAGCATCTGTGGCTCAGGAGAGAGAAACAGAGGCAGAGAGCAAAGGAGAGGAGAGAGAGAAACAGAGTAAGAGGCAGAGACACAGAGACAGAGATGGGGACAGAGAATTAGGAATAGTTAGGCAACTGCTAAGAACAATGGGACTCTGGGGAGAGCCCAAGAAGACTTACAATATATTGAACCATGTGATTCCTCCTTCCCTGCCCCCTCAAGAAAACCTACAATAAAAAGCTACATCACTTTTCAAGGAATTTTCAAGCCAGATTTATGTTTCTTATGGACATAACACTTTGCTGGAATGGACCTTAAGGCAGGGACAAGACCAGCTTTTTTTGGATTACAACAGTATCAGAATGATGGAGGGTTTTTTGTTTTGTTTTGGTTAAACAAGAAGAGGTGGGTAAGCCCAAATGGTACCATAAGTCTACTACAAAAACTTAAAACAGTAGTAAGCATCTTTTAAACTAAAACTTTAGAGAAATGTATGCATTCAGAAGAGTGAAAGATGTCAAATGAGTTAAAATGTAAAAAGGAAAACTCATTTCAGACTTGAGAAATAAAATGTAAAGAACAAAACGATCTCACCAGAAAATTCATATAGTATAAAGTGACATTTAAAGGCCAGGCTAAAATAAATACAGCTTCTACCAAAGTTCCAAAAGCCTTTAAAATAAACAAATTTGAATACTTAATATAAAATGAAAATGCTAGCATAACTGGCATCAAAGACATTTGATAAAAGAAAGATATCTAAAAAGAATTCTGGACTATTGTGCTGTAAGCACTTTTAGAAACTGACAACAGGAGAAGAGTTCGGGATGTGGCATTAAATGTGAAAGACAGAGTAAACATAATGCACTGGTCATAAAAATAATACCAGACAAGAAAAGTACTATAGATTATATCAAAGAAATAGTAAAATTATTTGTATATTTGTATCTATCCTTTCTACAACTCCCTTATAACTCTGACAGCAGAGACTGTAGAAAGGTCTTTGTATTGTGTCCTCAGCACCCAGTCTGACCCATAATCAGCACTTAATAAACATTAGGTAATGGGGAGCAGGTAGGTAGATATGCAAACATGGTACTACAGTATACTATAAATACTGAGAAAACATCTGAAATGGAAACATTCACCTAAATAAGGGAGAATACCAAATTACACTGCCAGATTTCAAATAGATTGACTTAATGGGATAAAAATGCGCTGGAACAATCTGGTACAGAACAAATAATTGCTTATTAGAACAAACAGTTTTAGTAGAATACAAAATAAAATGAAATTTGCTTGATTGAGAATCAAATAATGGATGAAGATTACTAGAAAAATGCATGAATTCTGTGTGTGAAATATTAGGCAGTAGTGATCACAACATACATTTAAATTTAAGATTCTAATGAAAAAAGACAAAAAAAAAAAATCCACCCTGGGGTTATTAGATTTTTGGAAATATAGATATTGGCTAGGAAAAATAAGGATGATAGGAATAACTAAAATAAAAAGTTCATAGAAAAATGAAGGTTATTTTAAAGATTTTATTTATTCAGTTTTTCCCCCCAAAGCCCCAGTAGATAGTTGTACGCCATAGGTTCACATCCTTCTAGTTGCTGTACGTGGGACTCGGCCTCGCGTTGGACGGAGAAGTGGTGCCTCGGGGCACTCCCGGGATCCGAACCCGGGCCGCCAGCATCAGAGCGCGCGCACTTAACCGCTAAGCCACGGGGCCGGCCCTGAAGGTTATTTTATATGATAATGCTAAAAACCCAGAAGCAAAACAAGTGCCTCAAAAATCAGAAAGTTGTTATGGCTAACTGACCAAATCAAAGAGAACCCATCAAAAGGGAAAGACATCTTTTTAAAATGAAAAGCTTGTCCAAATGTGTAAGACAGAGAAGCCCAAGTGTGTAAATCAGATGCAAATAGAAATTAGGCAGTCCAAAGAAAACTGAAGGAGTCACATCTGAGGGACCTCAAAGTCAATACTAAATGACTCTTTAAATACTTCTACAGAAAGAAGAGACTCAGTGAAATCAGTAGAATAGTTATTACAGTATAAAAGGCAACTGAAAGACAGAGACTCAATAAACCCCTTCCTACTAACTTCCTACTAAAGAAGACCTTAAGATTTCTGAATCCTAATTTATTTGCATAGCAGATAGGTTAAGAATATTAGATCAACTGTGGTACAATGGCAAGTTCACAGAATGCTCTAACCCAAATTGACAAAATGAATACAACTAGATCTTAGTGGATAAAACTCAAAGTTAGAACTGAGAAAACATTTGATAAAGTAGATACAAATGATCTCTCTGCCAAAAATGCTATGCCAGAGCATTTTTGGAAAGTCAACATAACTCCCAGCTATTAGAAGCGGTGACCTTGAGAACTATAGCTTGGCGAGCCCATTTTCTACATCTGAAAACCTGGTGAATCTATATAATATATAATATGTGAGGGCACAAAGCTTGCTAGAAAAAAACAGAGCAAATTGTTTCTGTAAGATATAAATCATACCTTACTAAGTTCATATCCTTCTTCCACGGGAATAAAGAAAACAAGTTTCAAAAACAAAATTAGCATGACTTTATATTTGGTATATAATGTAAAATTAGTTGAAAGAAACAAAAAAAGGGAAGGTATAAAAATTTGCATCTGCAAATGATAAGCAATTAAAAGTATGATTCCCCTAGGGATTTGTGCTATAATTTCTTCTTATTAAACAGTTTTATGAATGATTTAGAATATAAAATATATAATGAAACTTCCAAATTTGCAAGTGATACCAACCCCCCTAAGTAATACAATGCCAAGCTGATGAGAACAAACTAAAAGAACATATTCCAAAGTTGTATGACTGGGCAGCATAGTCGCAAATAAATCTTATCCTAACTATTAAGATACATATCTGGGAAAATAATTCCCAAATTATGCTTATAAAATAATGATCTCATTTATCATTTGAGATCCAAGAAATGAATTTACTACATATCACCAGAAATAAGAGAAATTATAAAAAAGCAAACAAACCAAACAAAAGATTGTTATCTTGCCTTAGATTTGATTACTGTTGTGTATGGCTCTGAAATGCTTCCTATAATTCTGCCTGTCATACTTAAATAAAACATCACGATGCAAGAGCTCTACCAACATCAGAAGAAAATTGTACAGTTTCTATCCACCTCACATCTTTGTGCAGAATTGCATAAAATTAATATATTGTATAAAACTGTCAGCTCCCTCAAATGAGAACATCGATAAATCAGTTCCTCGGAGAAGAAAACAAACAGCATTTACCTGTGGATAGAAGCTGATGGAAGCGAGGTCGTGGAAAAAGGACAAAGAGAAGAAACATAGATTATGAAAGCAGAAATCCTAAATAAACATAGCAGACAAAACAAAGATAACAAAAGTATAATTAAGCCTAGGTTGAAATACAGGATTAAAGGAGATACTACCAAATAGTGAAGGATGAAAGTGCCTGACTGCTGGGAGAGAACAGGGCAAGAGGATCAGCTTCCCGCATCTTTCTCTTGAGTCTCCTGAATGCGGCTTTGTTGCTATAAAGTGCTATAACGATACATAAGGAGAAAAAAAAAAACATTGAAAATGCATAAGATTCTAATTTGCCAATTTTCAAGATACCTAAACCTCCCAGCACATAGGAGTGGCTTTATTACCAAAAGGATCTGAGCGGTTGGAAACTGAAAAGAGTAGTTGTTTTAGGACAAGTGATAGCAAGTAGTGAATGTATAAACCTCTGCCTAAGGGATAGTTAAAATAGGTTCTGGAAGAACAAACCAATGATGGATAGCCCTATAACAAGTTATTAAGACACTAGATTGTCTATTTGGGGTTCTTAAAAGCAACAGACAGGAAAGTTGTAAAGAACTGATAATAGAGGAGAAATTTAGGGAAAGACAACACGAAGAACCAAATATTTGGTAGAAAATAGATTACTTCCATTGCTTTCTAGAGCAGTGAAAGAATGGTCTTAACACATCAGTCATCATTACTAAATTCCAGAACAGGATGCCTCATACACCATTAGCAAGGCATTCTTTTATGCTGATAGTAAAAAGACACTCTTATTTCCTATTGAATTACCTCAGTCATTTCCTGCATTATCTGCCTAACCCATGGGCTCATCCTGATTTGCTTAAAAGGTCTGAGGTTTTCAACATGGAATATTTGCTACTGTGGCAAACCAAATGCTTTAATCTCTACTGAAATTTTTCCTTCTCTGATTTAATGTTTTCACTTTTTCTCTTCTTAATTTTTTCCCTTAATATTGTTGTTCTAAATTCTTAGGCTAAGAGAAACAAAATTTCAACTAAAAAGGTAAAATTTTCACACAGCTATTAAAAATTTAGTAATCTACATTAAAACCAACTCACCAACTGGATGAGTGATGGTGTTCTGCAGGCTGGGAATTACCACAGAGTAGGTAGGTGAGCGATAAGGATAAACTGTTGTAGGATTCGTAGAGATGATATTCTGTGTTGTACCAGAAAATACATTGGAAACACTTAGAGGGAAGCGTTTTCGCTTCCCTGGACGAGGCTGATAAACCCAACCTATAGAAGAAGATAAACTATTTTTAATTTGAACATATAGACCCTATTTACTCTTTAAATAGTTCTATTCACATTGAAAATCCAAAACACTTCTAAGTTTTAAAAAATAAGTTATTGTCTAAAGTATCTTTTCCAGCTCTATGATACTATTTCTGTGCATTTTAGCATATATATCCATACAGCTCCTAACTAGTGGTCAATGTTATAACCTATAATTCAAAGGAAGAGCAAGGTCAAATGTCTTACAACCAAAGACATATATTGAATCTGTAGTAAAATCAACATTAAAGGCATTGAGTTTAAATCCCAAAGCTTTTCCTCTTCCTGTAAAACAATGCCCCACTAAGATAGTATTTATCTCCCCGTTTCCTCACTTTCTATAAGATACAATTGTCTACATCTCACAATGAAATGGTCACTAATGACCAGTCACTATTTTTATGCCTAGTTCAGGAAGAGTCACTCTCCTAGATTTGCCAATCTCCAAGTCCACAAACAGCCCAATTTCGCTCCAAAGTCAGAAGAGTGGAGTTACGGCAGTTGTAGCCACTGTATAACCAGGACAATCACTGGTTCCCTGTAATTGCTGCTTCTGACCATCTCTCACTAGAACCTCTCCGCTCATACCTTAGAAAAGGTAATTCTTTTCCCACCATCCAAAGTCATGTCAGCCATACACTGTGCATTTACCCAAGCTTAATCTCAGTGTCTCACTGCTGGGCAGGAAATCATTTCAAACAATATCATAATGCAATATATCTATCAATCAGAAAGCAGGACTATGGTCTGATAACCATATAATATTAAAATGGAGCATGGTGTTAATCCCTGCATTCTCATTGTCCTTACGTGTGCACTACGTATTTTTTTCTGTTGCTGTGATTTTAATACTTCATTTTATAGTATATTTGCAAAATTATAGCCTAGAACTCTCGAGCTTTACCTTCATTAAGTTTATATCTATATATTTAATCAAAACCACAGTGAAACTGTATGTCCCCTGATTTGTATTAGCTGACAAATATGAGACCAGATATCTCTCTACTTGGTTCTGTTTAAGGAAACTTATGCCCAGTATCAATTCAATCATTACTATAATATTAGCCATTATTCTCTTTATTGTATATATCAGATTAGAAAAAAATTACGCATTTTTGTCTTTCAATCTCAACCTAACCTAATCTTTACCTAAATAAATTAATTTAAAAGAAATTAGAAAGAGGCTTTGTTCATTTCATTTGATTACCAGGAAATTCCTCTCTGTGCTTTTCTTTAATCTTTTGTGCTTCATCATAATAGGGTTTCTTTTGTTCTTCACTAAGCTTGTTCCACTCTAACCCGAGCTGGACACTGATTTCTGCATTGTTGGCTGCTGGGTTAGCTTTGGCTAGTGCTGGCCGGTGGATCCTTGCCCAAACCATAAATGCATTCATGGGTCGCTTCACATGACCATTTCTGTCCTTACTGAAGGGAGTGTCTGGTATTCCTAGATGACAAAAATTAAGAGACTAAATTAACGTGCCACACACAAACAATTTTAAAGTGAAGTGTACCTCCATATATATTTATTTTTTAAACATCTGGAGAAAATATACACTTCAATATAGCCAAAGAACTGCCAGTATTCCAGAATTCCTCATAACCCCTCAACTCAGCATTCTAAACTGTAGCTTAGAATGACTCTTCTTTTCCTCAAAATGAATAATATCATTGAAGATATTGTGGAAATAATAATGCGGAAGACACAGTAAACTGCTGGCTTATTACTTCTTTGAGCTTTATTAATACCTCGAACAATAATTAACATTTAGCTTATTTCCCATTAAAAATATTCTATTACTGGGAGACAGGAACTATCATTTATTCATGACTATAATCCTAGCCCTAGGCAGCTTTTCCCTAAATGTTTAAAGGAACTCATTTAGATGCCACTGTAGTGGCCATTCAAGCAAAAATATTTATAATATTATAATAGTATATTAGTTGTTTTTCATTATGAAGGTGAAGTTCCTGCTGAGATGGGTCATCAACACTAGTCCCACGTCCAAGGAAAAAAATAATAAAAGTGACTTTTTGCGAGTCACAGAGCCAGCTGAAATTACAATAAAGGAAGGTGGCTAAATTCACATCTCTTACATAATTCATCAGAAACAACTGTCTGTAAACTTATATTGTTCTCTTTATTTTTCTGTTTACTTGATATGTAAAATTCTAAAAAAAGCACAAAGGGTGAAATAAGTATTATAAAGAAAGCTTTTCCTTTCTCTCCTTTAGAAATGAAAACAAAGTTTAAAAACTACTGAAGATAAAAGCAAGATGGTGGGGTGGGGAAGAAGAATCAGTAAAAAAAAATGATAAAAACAATAAAGTTAATAAAATCATGAAGATTAATATGACTTTCCATGACATTCATTGGCATAGTATTCTGTCTGAATTAAATCTTAAAATAAGAATTTTCTAACTATATATTTGGACATAATGGATAGAAATAAAATATCTACTTCTACTTGTTACTGCTGTAACTATAGTCCTTTCTTTTAAAACAATCTTTTTAGCTTATTCTACCACCGTATTTTCATTTTCTATATTTCTATAAGTCCTTAGCTTCTAGAATACTAAAGCGTTACATTTAATCATGTACTGTTTTCTCCTAGAAAAATGTTTACTGTTCATTTTTAAAGATAAATCACCTCTAACTTCAGTACAAACTTTCCTGTTTAATTATAACCATTTTTTCATTAAACACCATTTTTTTTTGTTTCTTGACACACATAAAAATATTGACCTACTATATACAATATTTTAAAATGTTGATTATCTGTAGCATATAAACTGAGGGCTTTATGTTACCTAACAAGAATATTTCTATTTTTGTGTATAAACATTAATCACATCTAAATCTCGTCGTTCACTGGGCCTTAAAATAGATTTTTTTTTAATGTTTAGGAATCTTGAACGTGTTAGTGTATTTTACTGGTCTATGTACAAGTCAATAAGAAGTGATACCTCTGCAGACTTTGCCCTGAAAAGAATCGGTTCCATGATGTTACTTTTCTAGTTTAGGCTTCTGAACCACTGATATGTCAGCTATGGGGCAACAAAGATGAAGTGTGAAAACCAGATTCCCCTGCCGTCTAATACCTGCATCTGAGGGAAGCACGGTGAGCGGGACATCTTTGGTTTCAATTTTTACAGAAGGCTCCAGTAAGGACTGCATTTTAATAGGCACTGGTGTCAAGGGGACCTTGGTCAATCGAATCAGCTCTGAAGGAGGAGGTCCCTGAAATTGAATCCGGGCCCCAGGGGGCACAGTGTGGAGAGTCAAAGGGATCCTGAGGTCTTGCTGGTGCGGACCAAAGGCGCTGGACGGCTGGGCCAGGATGACCTCCTTGCTGCCATGCACCAGCCCATTGGACGCGGGCTCTGCGCCGAGCCTGCAGTCCTCGCGGAGCCTCTCAGGCTGCTCCGTTTTGATGATTCCTTCTCTGATGGCCGCCAGGCTTTTGCCTTCCTCGCCTTTCGCCGCGTCCCTCATGATCTCCTCCACCTCCAACTTCCCCTTCTTTTTGTCCCCTCGGCGGCTGTCGAGGGCCAGCCCGGGGCCTTCCACCTTGGCCGCCCTGGAGGCCCTGGGGCCCGCCTCGACGGCCTTCCGAGGCCCCATCGACAGATCCAAGCTGGGCCCCAGCTCCTGCTTCTCGCCCTTGACGTGCAACTCCCGGGGCTGCACCGGGTGCAAGTCAGGCCTGCAGGGGGCGCCCTCGGACGCGGGCAGCGGCGGCGGCGGCAGCAGCAGCTCGGGCCTCAGCTGCAGCAGCCGCGCCTGCGCGGCCGAGGCGGCGGCGGCTTCGTCCCGGGCCTGAGGCAGCGATGGCCCTGGCGGCAGCAGCAGCATTTGCTCCGGCTTCACCTGCAGCAGCCGCCGTGCCACGGGCTGTACGCCCGACGCCGGGGCCTCCCTGCACGACGAGGCCATGGCGGCCGCGGACTGGGCGGGCGGCAACGGAAGGGGCTCGGCGGCCGCTGCCCGAACGGAGGTGCCCTCCACTGGCAGCGGGGGCGGAGCGGGGCGCAGCGGGCGCGGCGGGGTCGCCCGCGGCAGTTGGCGCGGCTGAGGCGGCGGCTCCGGCCTGTCTCTCTTCATGGGGGGAGGGGGACGCCCCGGCCTGCTCCTGGCCGGGATTGTGAGCTCAGCCGTTTGTTGGCACCTTCCCCCTCCCCCTTTCGGTTAAGCCCCTTCCAAGGCCTTTACTACCCAGAACCCTACGCGGTTCAAAAAGCCGCTCTCCCTCTTGGCGGCCAATCACAAGCGTCCCCGTCCCCCCGGCCCGCCCTCCGCTCTCGCCTCGTGCCGAGCCCTCGAATCACCCGCGACGGCGGGGGCCGCGGCACGTGCTGCCCATTTTTCCCCTCTGACTTTCCCTCTCTCCCGGAGTTCTCTTCCAGCCGTTGTCCTTAGTTACCCCGCCCCCGGGAGCGGGACAATGGTGTTGCCCAGGAAACGGTGCAGTTCCACGCCACTGCCCTCCAGGGGATAAAATCTCTTAAGTGCCTTGCACTTACTGGGGAACTGGGTTTTGTACGTGCGGTTTGCGCCGCCGGAATACACGATCAGCCCTGAGCATCACGGGGGCCTTTGGATCTGTATCAAGGGGAAAAGGGGGACATTGTGCATCTTCTGAATAACTCTATTAGCTCATCTTGCTGGGAAGAGTGTTCGACTTCGTGCGGTTAATGTCCTAGGTAAACTTTCCATTAATCACCAGTCCTGATAAACCCCAAATTCATCCACTTCTTTAGGTTTCCTCCGCCATTACTCTGTTCCAAGCTTCAATCGTCTTTCACCTGGGTACTGCCCTGTAAATAGTCTCGTTGCTTTTTACTCTTGTCCCACTACACTCCAGCTGCCAGGGATCTTTCAAAAGTACAGATCTAACCCTGTCACATCTCACTCTCCTAAATCTTGCAATGGCTCCCCACTGGCCACATGATAAAGGTCTGATATTCTTGGCAACGCTTATAAAACCCCAAATGGCCTGGGCCCTAAGTACTGCTCCCACTTCACCGTTCTAGCCCTGGTTCTGTGGGCTTCAGCCACACTGGCTTCTGGTCATTCTCTCTGCTACCTCAAGGGCCTTTGAATAGGCCCGCAATGCTATTCCTCCCTTGTGTCTCCTTAACTCTTCCTGCTCGTTTTTCAAATTGCAGCTCAACTGGCACTTCTTCAGAGGAGTCTTCTCCGACTCTGAAAATCAAACCAAATCTGCTTTATGTACTCATACCTCTATCGGTTCGTTTAAAGCTCTTACCACAATTCGCAGTTATATATTTCTTTATGTCATTATTCTACTGCCTCCTCCATTTGGCTGTAAACTCCTTGAGGCCCACTGTTTGTATTTTGCTCATCGTTGCATCACCAATGCCAACCACAGAGCCTGGCATATAGTAGGCATTCAGTAAATACTTGTTGAATGAATAAGGTCTGCCATTGTCTAATAATAAAATAGTAATAATCACTACCATACTAAGGGCTTACTGTTACACTTTGCACTGCTCCAAGTCCTTTCCATGCTTATGCCTCTTCTTTTAAGATTGTGTTTATTTCCATTAAATATCACCAAGAAAAAGAAAAAGAAGTCTTGTATTAACATTTGATATATTTCTGAATGATACCCTAACTAAAAGCTATAGATTTACCTTGAAGCAGATGGTTTTTGCAACCAAGACAAATTATCCCTCAAAGAAGGCCTGCCCCATTTCTGGTTCTAATCCCCTTTTGTCAAATGTGGCAAAAACGAGTTCTTGGACCAGGCAAGGAGAGAACAGCAGTGGTTCCCCAACTTTTTTTAAATCTCAGGAACCCTTTACGCCCACAAAAATGACTGAAGATTCCCAAGAGCTTTATTTATGTGGTTTTATCTATTAATACACTCCATATAAATAAAAACTGAGGACTTTTTAAAAAGTATTTAGTTATCAATTCATTGAAAATATCGATAATAAATCCGTTACATGTTAATATAACACATTTTCATGATAAAAGTATGTTTTTCCCAAAATTAAAAGAGTGGCATTGTGAATCTAATGTCTGGCTTAATAAAAAAAAAAACAGTTGGAGTCTCATGTCTGCTTCTGCATTCAATCTGTTGTGATTCCCACATCATGCAGGATCTGGAAAGCTTCACTCATGAGAGAATGAAATGGAAAAGGCAAATACTGCCTTAGAATTATTATGAAAATAGTTATTAACCTAGCAGACTCGCTGAAAGAGTCAGTCCCTGAACCACACTTTGAGAACCACTGGACTAGGGTTTAAATGAAAGAGCCAAATATGTGTGCAAAGGCTGATAAAAGAAGCAGACATATCAAGTTAGTATTGATTTGTTCAAGACTAGGTCATATTCCAACCTGATTTAGTAATTCAAAAAAAGTGATGTGACAGTCCTCTGTAACAGCAATGCAAATAGTACGTGGGGAGTATATTTTAAGCAGAAAGCAATCTTTTTTTTTTTTTTTTACAAAAAACAGCTTTATTGAGGTTTGATTTATATATCATGTTTACAATCAAATGTACAATTCGATGAGTTTTAATAAATTTATAAAGTATTGTAACCATCACTACAATCCAGTTTCAGAACAATTCCATCCATCCCAAAAAATTGGGAAAGGGAACCCAAAAACTTCCTTTGTTCCCATTTGCAGTCAATCTCCACCCCCATCTCTAACCCCAGGTGATCACTTATATGCTTTGTGTCTCTATAATTTCGGCTTTTCTAGAAATTTCATATAAATAGAATCGTATAGTATATAGGTTATATATCCGGCTTCTTTGACTTAGCATAAGGTTTTGAGGTTCATCCAAGTTGAATGCATTAGTAGCTCATTCTTTTTTATTGCAGAGTAATATTCCATTGTGTGGAAATACCAAATTGTACATGGATATTTTATTGTAAGGTGTCTCCCACTCATGTTGTTATCCATTCACTAGATGAGCATTTGGATTATTTCTAGGTTTTGGCTACTATGAATATGACATCCATTCAAATACAAATATTTTGGGGAATAGGTTTGTATCTCTCTTGGGTGGACACCTACAAGCAAAATTGCTAGGTTATATGGTTGTATATGTATAACATTTTACAGAACTGTCAAACTGCTTTGCAAACTGCCTGTACCATTTTATGTTTCCACCTGCAACATATGAAAGCCACAGTTTCTCTACCTCTTCTCCAACATTAGTTATCATAAGTCTTAAATTTTAGCCATTCTAGCCATATAGTAGTAAATAATTGTGGTTTAAAACTGCATTTTCAGAATGAGTAATGACGTTGAGCATCTTTTTATGAGCTTAGTTGCTATTCATATAGCTTCATTGCATAGTGTCTATTAAAGTCTTTTTGCCCGTTTTTGAGATTGGGTTGTTGGTTTCTTATTGTTGATTTTTAAGAATTCTTAATATATTCTGATACAATTCCTTTATTAGATGTATGTTTTTCAAATATTTTCTTCCAGTTTGTGTCTTGTCTTTTCATTCTTTTTTTGTTTTTCATTCTTAATGGTATCTTTTGAAGAGCAAAATTTTTAACTTTAATGAAGTCTAATTTGTCAATGTGCCTTTGATTGTATCTAAGAAATCTTTGCCTAACCTAAGGTTACAAAGGTTTTTCTCTCATGTTTTTCTCTAGCAGTGTTATAGTTTTAGCTCTTGTGGTTAGCACTGTGATCCATTTCAAGTTAATTTTTATACAAAGAAAGAACGTAGACCCTTACCTCAACCATACTGTTGTTCCAATGCCATTTGTTGAAAAGACTATCCTTTGCCCATTGAATTACATTAGCACTTTTGTAAAAAATTAATTGACAATATATGTATGGGTTTATTTCTGAACTCTATTCTGTTTTCATCTCTATTCTTTGATCTATATGTCTATCTTGATGCCGTACCACACTATCTTGATTAGTATGGCTTTATGGTAAATTTTGGAATTAGGTCATATAGGTCCTCAAACTTGGTTCTTTTTCAAAAGCATATTGGCTATTCTTGGTCCTTTGGATTTCCATATAAATTTTAGCATCAGCTTATCAATTTTCACCAAAAAAAAAAAAGCCTGCTGGTATTTAGATAAGAATTTCATTGAATCTATGGATCAATTTTGGAAAAATTGACGTTTTAACAATATTGAGTCTTCCAATTTGCAGACATAGGACATATCTCCATTTATTTCAGTCTTTAATTTCTCTTGACAATGTGTGTAATTTGCAGTACACAGTTCTGCATTTCTTTTGTTAAATTTATTCCTGAATATTTTATTTTTTGATGCTGTTGTGAATGTAATTGTTTTCTTAATTTCATTTCTAGTTGGTTGTGTATTGATTTTATATTTGTATTTTCTTGCCTTATTGCACTGGATAGAAGCTCCAATCCAAAGTTGAATAGAAGTGATGAGAGTGGACATCATTGCTTTGTACCCAATGGCAGGGGGAAAGCATTGCCTTTGATCTTTGAGTGTGATATCAGTTGTAGGTTTTATGAGGCTGCCTTTTATCAAATTAAAGAAATTTCCTTCCATTCCTAGTTTGTTGAGAGCTTTATCATGAATGTTGAATTTTATCAAATGCTTTTTCTACACCTATTGAGATGATCATATGACTTTATCTTTATTCCAGGGGTCAGCAACATTTTCCAGAAAGGATCATATACTAAGTATTTTTGGTTTTGTGAGCCATATGATCTCTGTTGCAACCAATCAACTCTGCTGTTGTAGCATGAAAGCAATTATAGACAACGTGTAAATGAATGGACATGGTTGTGTTCCAATAAAACTTTGTTTACAAAAACAAAAGGCATGCCAGATTTGGCCTAAGGGCTGTAGTTTGCTGACCCCTGTTTTACTCTATTAATAAATGCATCACATTAATTGATATTCAGATGTTAAGCTAACCTGCATTCCTGGATAAACCCCACTTGGTCATAATGTATAATCCTTTTTATGCATTACTGGATTCAGTTGCTGATCTTTTAAGAATTTGAGCATTGATATTCATGAAGGATATTGGTCTGTAGTTTTCTTGTGATAGCTTTGTCTGCAGCTGTGGTATCAGGGTAAAATGATCTGAAAAGTGTTCCCTTCACTTCTATTTTTGAAAAGGTTTGTGTTGGATTGGAATTATTAATTCAATAAATGTCTGTAGAATTCATTGACATCTATAGACTGGACTTTTCTTTGTAGGAAGATAGATTTTTTTGATAACTCAAATACTTTAATGTCTTTACTTGATATAGGTCTATTCAGATTTTATATTTCTTCTTAAGTCAACTTTCATCATTTCTGTCTACAGGTTTGCCCATTTCAACTAAGTTGTCAAATTGTTGGCATAAGGTTGTTCATAATATTCCTTTATCATCCTTTTAAT